ACCAGGGCCCTTACGGATTAAAAAGCAAAACTATTAATCATACATGTCTACAAATATGCTTTCCCAAAATATTAGTTTGTCAGGAAAAACCTGTCAAGTCAACAACGAATTTCATGCTGGTTTAAAACTATACATGAGTGGTGCCGTCTGAACATTCCTTTGATGGTCCAGTGAGATCAGGGCTGTGGGGACACTGTGACTACTCAGGGCAAAGGTGAGCGCCTAATGGCAGGGATGTATGCACAATCTGCTTCCTATACCTGCCCTTCGGTGCCTGCAACTGGTGACTCAATACATTTTCATTGAGCTCCCCAAGAACTGGCAAAATACTATTATCACTTTGACAGAAGAGAAATGCTAGAAGCTATAATTATTTTAAGCAAAATTGACAAAAGATGTAGTATTTTAAATATAAATTAACCCTTTGCACTCCGAACCATTCTGGACATTGGCTACCAGCTACTCGACGCTACTCTGCGGCAGAAATGTGTATTTACAGACCCTCGTATTATTTAGTATAATTTTGGAACCAAGTAACGTATTATAATGATATTGGACTTATATGAATTGGGTGACATCGAGGAATGTATATTTGCAAAAAAAAACAATATTTTATTGTTTATAATTTTGTACAGTATGATAAGTTTTTTAACACTCCCCAATATGCATTGCAGGCTGATTAGTGCATGTTTGACAGTAATAAGTGGTTTGACGCCTGCCACCAGGTGTTTTCCTGTTAGAACACACAATGCAGTCCCGTTTTCTTTGTCCCACATCGGGGAATATGTAGTTTATTGTTTAATCCGACACAAAACCCGCTGACATTTCTTGTATATATCTTAGTAATTTTACGATATTTTGATTTAATTTCTTGTGCCATTTCAAGATAAAACTTCAGGGAAACATGCATGTCTCAAAAGTTGCGTTGAAATAACTCAATTTCCCCGTAATCACTAATAACTGCAATGTCCCCTGAGAGGGACATCCGAGTGATATGCTAGAATTCCGAGTCCCCTGAGAGGGGACAGCGGAGTGCAAAGGGTTAATGGATCCAATCAGTAAATTAGGAACGCATACTCATCTACAGAGAAGAAACTTAAAAGACATCTTTTGTTCTGATTATCAAAATACTAGCACATCTAACTGCCTTCATTCCTACTCTTCGTGAATGGGTCTAGACAAAATCTTGAAATTGCTTTCTTGGCCATTTGTACCTAAGTTAAACTGATAGGGTACAGCAAAAACAATCTGACATATAACACAAATGAAAGATGATAGGTATTTTACATTATGACTTGCTAGCATCCCTTTGAGGAACATTACTTATTAAACTTTGATTAAACATTAACCAACATTTCCAAAATGCACTATATACATTAACTTCTGAAAATGTGTATGGGTCATACCTGAGCCTCTTATTAATTTATGCCCTATACCAGTGGTCGGCAAACTCATTGGTCAACAGAGCCAAATATCAACAGTACAACGATTGAAATTTCTTTTGAGAGCCAAATTTTTTAAACTTAAACTATATAGGTAGGTACGTTGTTATTAACTTAATTAGGGTACTCCTAAGCTGGCCTTTGCTAAAAACGTCCCCAATCTGATTGAGGTACGTTCGCTGAGGTTGACCCCTTCCAACTCTCAAATCCTCAACTTGTGCATGAATCGCACGTGCCTCCCCCGCGCTGCGTATCCCGTGGCCCGCCTGCGCCGTGCGGTCTCCTGTCGCCCCCTGTCGCCCGACCAACCGACACCCCCCACTTCTTCTAACGCCACTTCTTCAAAATAGACTCGCCCAGGCCGAAACCGACTTCTGCGCATGGGCCACGAAGTTTTAATCGCACTGTACGTGTGCGCCTGCCTGTGGTATTTTGTGGAAGAGCCACACTCAAGGCGCCAAAGAGCCGCATGTGGCTCGTGAGCCGAGGTTTGCCAACCACTGCCCTATACTAACAGTCACCCCTGTAGCCTCAGAGGTGCGTAAAAACATTTGAATCTTAAACAGAATCACTCTCAATTGCTGTGTGTGTAGTAAAATCTGTTCTTTTCCCTGCCTCTTCCCTTTCTGTTTGCTGATGACAGGTTGCCAAGTTCTTGTGCCACTGTATGCAAACACACACACACACACACACACACACACACACACACACACACACACAAACAAACCCCCACAGGAAAAAAGGATCTTTTAAGGACAAGGAGGTAGGTTCCTACATCAGGCAGACTCACCATTCCTTCCAACTCATATAAAGAAAGTAGAGAGATAGCAATGGTGCTCGCCCAGAGTACTTTCCTAGGAATACTAAGCTTTGATGTTTTTGTGTTAAGTACCCCCCCGCCAAGTTAATCAGGTCATCTGATCCTTCTGAGAATTCTGAACATCTTCCAGAATAGTGACACAGCTAGTCATAACAGGTGCAATGCAACTATATTTTAAAGGGTTTCTAACATAAAAGGACAGAACCTAAGATGAAGGAAGTGAGCTGAGATGTTATATATGTGACCTTATATCAACCCCCCCACACACATACACTCACGTATTCTCCAAGGGGTCCTTTACTTGCCAGTAGGAAGGGTACACCCAACCCCACTAGTAGGTCAAAATCATTTCCAAAAGACCACCTCAGATGATGCTGGAAGGACATCTTTAACACCATCCATTCCACAAAGGTGCAGACAGAGCACAAGAGATAAGGTCTTTTCTAATTTTAAGATCTAAAACGAAACTTTTCATTCATGTTTCTCTCCCACCCACCTCTGACAGATGTGCATTTTATTTCCTTTCATTCTCCTAATTCTAGAAAGGTTGGAAGTCAATGGGAAGAATGTTGATGGGACACAGGGACGGTCATGAATGGTATTGGCAAGCCCAAACTAGCTGGGATCTGAAACACTTGCTCAGTAAACTATCACAACCCTTAGGAAGACTGACCTTCTGTGATCAAGAGCACATTTAAATGCATGTCAAAGCAACATTCAACTTGGAAAAGCTGAAGAAAACTGATTCAGCTCTCTCAAACCAAATTAACATACTATTGATGAACTTGCACAGAGTTTTCTCCTTGGTTAGGTTTATTCCTGTGCCCATCTGACTCTCCAAATCATCCCTGTGACCAATACTCCACATCAAATTCCACTGAAATCTACAGATAAATCAAAATGTACCTTCTTATAGTTTCAAGCAAATTTGGTCTTGGTAGAGGCAGCTTAGCAGGTCTGAATGTTCTCTTCAAATTGTGCAAGAGGTAAAGCAAATAGCTAGACCACACAATTTAAAAACCAGAACTGTGAGAAGCACAGAACCAGTTTTTGCTTTCTACTAACTTTCTTAGTGGTGAACTAAAAAGCATGTGTCAGCTATTATCCAAGCCAACTATTTTAAGTGTTTTTGAAGTAACAATTCTGAATACCTGTATCTGAAGACAGCCCTCATGGGAAATAGCATGTTCCTAATGCCCAAGTGATAAGGACTTACTTTCGACAAGACATTCCTGAAGACAAGTGACACCTGTGAGGAGGCACAGCTACATTCTGTCCATTATGGAGAGAAAACTTTTATGAGAAGAAAATAGCACATTCTAAAAATGTGACCAAATTTGTGGTTAACATACACACACTCAATTACTCTTAACTTTGTACCCAACTAGCTAGTAGCACCATGCATTCAAGTTCTTAGATTTGGCTACTCATGGAAGTTGCTCAAAACTCTTGAGGACAACACACTTAGTCGATACTAGGAATTGCCCCAGCAAAGGGCCATAATGCACTTCAGCATCTCACACTCTTCCAGACACACAGCTGGAAAGGCAAGACCCATCGTGCAAAATAGCTGGCAGAATAAAGTGCTGACCACTAGTTCTGAAACAAGAACTAGAGCTGACCCAGGTAGGCATGGCTCAATGGTTGAGGTTTGATTTATGAATCAGATCATGGTTGGATTCCAGGTCAGGGGTAGTCAGGGCACATGTTGGATTATGGGCTCGACTATCAATGATTCTCTCTCGCCATTGATGTTCCTATCTCTTTCTTCCTCTCTGAAATCAATAAAAGTATTTAAAAAACAAAACAGAGCTGACCACTGGAACACCAGTAGTGGCACCTACTACACAACTCTCAACAGTGACTTCCCAAACTACTCCAAAGCGTTTGAATTCCCTCCTCTCCTGCCAATAACTTCTTGTGCAATTCCGCTCAATTCATTTAAAACAGCAACTTCATATTTTGAGGAAATTTGGAGAGTGCCACCTAGCTAAGTGCCATCTGAGCTGACTAGCTAATATTTTAAGTACTCTGTAATTAATTGCCAAGCCTTATTAACACAGCTACAATTTTACTGACCATAACCAACTGGGTTGTGCAACAAGAAAGTGTTAAGGCATTCTGTTAGGGAGGCCATCGTTCTATGGGTAGGTCAAAGATTTCACCAGCTCGGAAAAGTGTTCTAAACTCTGCCAACGGGGCCCAAGAAACAAGCTCGGCGTTGCAGCAAGCTCTGATAAAGGACCCTGCACAGGCGTTCTCATTCAGACCCTGGGCCTCGCCCCACAGCAGGGCCCAGGAACCCCGGCCCCACCCCACTCCACCCAGCCCGTCCCGTCCTCGAAGCAAACAGGAACTGGGCTCAAACCCTGGTCATCGCGTGACCTTGGCCGCGTCCCGGGACTGAGGCCTCAGTTTCCTGGTCCTCTAAACCCCGAGGCGGGAGGCGGAGCAGGAAACGGGGCTTCCAGGGGAGCCCACGGCCGGGCCCGACTTCCGGGCGCCAGAGCCGGCGGCTCTGGGAGGCTCGGGGCTGCTGTGGGGTCTAAGCCGGAGACTGACCCCGCGGCCCGATCTCACCTCGACCTCGCCTTGACCCCCAGCGAGTGACTGGCCCCGGTCCCAACCCCCTCCCGGCCTCAACTAGACTTCCAGCCTAGCCCTACGCGCCCGCCCCACCACGCCTCGGTCCCAAGCTTGGCCCTCGACCCCGGCCCCAGCCGGGCCTCAACCCTTACCGTCTGGCTTCGCCTCGGGTCCCCAGCCCGGCCTCGCTTCGCTTCAGACTGGGCCCTCACCGCGGCCCCGAGCCCTGCCTCACCTCGCTTCAGCCTCGGCCCCACCATGGTCCCCGGCCCAGCCTCGCCTCGCCTCTGCCCTCACCGCGCCCCGGGACCGCGTCGGCCCTCCCTGCCCAACGCTCCAGCCGCAGTAGGCAGGACTCGCGCGCCTAGACCAGCCCCCGGCCGCAGTTCCCGCTGCCCACGGCCCCTGCCTCACCCTCGGCAGCC